CCCCCCCCCCCCCCGTTGCTTTTAGAACAGATGTTTGGCTTGAGATTGAACCTCCTTAGTTAATTAATATGAGCAAGTCCCATGTTTCTGACCTTTATATTATAACATTTTAAGCAGCACAAAGTTACATAGGTTCTTCAATTGAACATTCGGCAGAAATGAAATTCTTCCTCCATGTTCACAAATTAATCCCAAATCTATCATTTCGAAGTCGTGACTTAAATTCTTCAACCCCCACCGAAAAGAACGTAAGGAACCAAGCAAATAAACAACCGCGAGTGAATTAAACAAAGAAACTCATGAGATGCGTGGCCTCGGAAGATCGAAGCCAATCGATGGGGCCAAACCCAATCGAGGAAATTTCAAACCTACTTCCCATTCCACAGGAAAAATCCGACAAGCCGAGCCCCAATGGAGGAAATTTCAAGCGATTAACATCATTGTGAAACATCAAATCAGAGAGAGAGAGAAAGGGACTTACAAAATCAAAACCCGCGAACACCCCAACGCGAAAATGGATGTCAATTAAACGGAAGGAGGTGAATGGATATTTATGTGGAGCCGTCGGTTTGGCCGCGACTCGGCTCCGGGAAAAAAGATGCCTGAAAGGCCGTCCACGCGGTCTCCACAGAAAAAAACGTGGGAATACCATATATAGAGAGAGCTGGCGGGTGGGTCATGAGTGGTAGCTATGTAAATCGGCCCCTTCAATGGTGGGTGGCTCTTGGTGCCTATGCCCGCCATTAAAACGGTTATTAGACCCATATTTAGCTTCATTTATTGAAATTGCTATCGGATACCATTTATTCATTATAGTTTTTATTGTCTAAATTTAATTAATGTATTCAAAATTAATCTTAATATTTTTAACCCAAAGTTAATTTGTATATTGATTAAATAATAATAATAAATTTTATGACAAAAAAAATATTGCATAAATGTATACAAATTTATTGAAGTATACACTATATTTTAAAATAGGTTATATTAATAAAAATATTTTTTAATTTTTCCCTTCGTCTCAAAAATACTTTTCATTAATATTTTTAAATTTGAAGAAAAAAATTTAATAATATATTTAAACATTTAAAAAAAATTAAATAAATACTCTTTAAGATGAAAACAAATAGTATTTTGTTTTAAAAATACTATTGAATTTTTAAAATTATTTCAAATAATACTCTAATTTCAAAATATTTCAAATAATACTCTAATTTCAACGTATTTAAAAAATACTTTGAGTTTAATTAATACATAAACTTTATTTAAAAACTTAAAAAAAATATTTTTAAATTTTTTTTAAAACTAAAAAATATCTTTAATTAATATATATATTTATTGTTATTAAATATTCATGAACTTTCTAAAATAAAATTAAAACGATCCTAGATAATGATGAGGTGTCAATAAATGGTTTTTGTCCATGGTAAATTTTTTAAATGATTACCTTCAAAATTTTATAGATATTTTTAAATAAATATGTTTTTTAATTTATTTTTTTAAAGGTTGAAATGTATTAATTAAACTATTAAAAGCTTAATATTTTCTTAATGCTAAGAGTATTTTAAAAAAGAAATTAAAAAAAAATTTAGAATAAAATATAAAAAGGTATGAGTATAATTATTAATTTAACATTTAAAAATAAAAATTAACTATGAATTTTTTTAAAGACAAATTGAAATTAGGCGAGAATGTTTGAGAAAAAAAAAAAAATTGTAATTTAGCCCAAAAATAGACCGGTCGAATCCACGGATTTTGATGCGAACCCGGTCGAGTCACCAGCCTAAGATAAGATCGGCGTGAAGGGGTCAAATTGGAACGAGAGCTGTAAAGGAGACCGACGACAAAATACAAACCGAAGTGGGTTTCGAATCTTCATCTCCAGACGATCGTTCGAGTTGCTGGGAATTTTGTCCTCAAAATATCTTCCGAGGTAATTCTATGATCAATTTCTTGATTCTGCTGTAATTTAGTGTTCTTCCGCGTTACTTATCTCTGCAAATAAAAACCCTTTAGGTCTTAACGATCACGGAAAAATCGAACAAGACGATATTGGTGTTGGTTTAAGGTTGATCAGAGGATTTGTTATTGGATTCATGTAGCTGCTTATATTAATTGTTAATACGATTACCTCGATCATTTCTGGAAATAAATAGTTGTTCAGTTATGAAGAATTAGGTTTATTTGACGTACTTTTTCATTGGGTTATAACTTATTCGTCTAATTTAGGGTTTCGCTTACTTCACTTTTTGATAAAAATTTGAAGAGATTTACAATTTGATTTTCCATTGACTTGGGTCTGACTACTTGGCAGATAAGCTTATAAACTGGTGCCAGTTTGAGGAAAAAAGATGTGGGCAGCATCTTGCCTTGCGTCGTGCTGTGCAGCTTGCGCATGTGATGCATGCCGTACGGTTGTTTCGAGTATTAGCCGTAGGTCTGCAAGGATTGCATACTGTGGCCTCTTCGCACTCTCTCTGATTGTTTCTTGGATTCTCAGAGAGGTCGCTGCTCCCCTTCTGGAGAAGATCCCTTGTGAGTCATGAATTTTCCTTTTCTTAAATGTCTATGGATTCGTAGAACAAGCAAGCGCTGATGGTCGAGTAATTTGTTTCTGTCCTAGCCACATCTTATCTTATGCTTATTTTGCAGAATCTAGATGGAATGCAAGAAACTTTCCTTTAGAGTAAAATAATATCTTATACAATGCGATCGGTTTTAATCATCCTTCTATATAACCTTCTTCAAAGCGTTCACGAATTTTATATTTCCAAATGCATCTATTGCTCTTAGACATTAATGATGTCATATTGAGAGATGAGATCACTTTTATGATATCCCTTTTTTTTTTTTTTACAGATTACTTATTACTTATGATGTAGATATATTCTTATTATTCTAGAATCGTCTAGTGTAAATTGCTTGTGATTAATCAGCTGTTTTTAGCCAAGGGCATTTGTTATTGGCCATTTGGAAGCATTTTTTTCTGTTGCTTCTAATCATCAAGCTTGCGGTTTGTTATTTAGCTGCATTAAGTGGTACTTACTACTCAGAACCACTGTTGGATAATAATGAAATATTGTCAACTCTAAAAGGACTTCCTCCTGTCTCCAAACAAATCACATAGCTGGTTTGACTGATACTATTGAAGTGTTTAACAGTTTTTTTTTTAATGTATGTCTTCTTTCAGGGATTAATACTTTCCATGAAACACCTAGCAGGGATTGGTTTCAAACTGATGCAGTCTTGCGGGTTAGCTTGGGAAATTTTCTCTTCTTCACCATTCTATCTGTAATGATGGTTGGTGTAAAAAGTCAAAGGGATCCCCGTGATGGTATTCACCACGGTGGATGGATGGTGAAAGTTATTTGTTGGTTCCTTCTGGTGGTACTAATGTTTTTCATTCCAAATGAGATTATTACCTTTTATGGTAAGAAATTATATCAGCATGTCAGAAATTAGAATGATGTTTTACAATGACTGTTCAAAATGGTTTAATTTGAGATACTTTTCCTTCTTCTTTCTTTAAAATGGTATTAACATATTCGACATTTCCAGAGTCTATATCAAAATTTGGCTCAGGACTGTTTCTTCTCGTCCAAGTTGTTCTTTTGCTGGATTTTGTTCACAGATGGAATGACACCTGGGTTGGATATGATGAGCAATTTTGGTTTGTTGAATTCTAGTTTCTTCTCTTGTGCCTTCTTACTCTCTTTTCCCACGTTATCTTTCTATGTTTGTAACTAATGTTTGAGTTCCCCCCCTTCTTTTTAGGTACATCGCCTTATTTGTTGTTTCACTTTTCTGTTATCTTGCAACATTTGTCTCGTCTGGATTTCTCTTTCACTGGTTCACACCATCAGGACATGACTGTGGGCTCAACACCTTCTTTATAGTCATGGCCCTAATTTTTGCGTTTGTTTTCACAGTTGTTGCACTACACCCTTCAGTAAGTATTTCCCTCTTTCATCTTTCATCAATCAAACTGTCTCATTAGAGGTCAATTCATGATTGGGCATATCTATATATATCTCCTTCCCCTTCCTCTCGTTTATCTTTTTGCCCTACAAATTAGAATTAGTTATAAGGCTGTTGATAATAGATTTGGCTAATGACCAAGTTGTTGTACCATGATACTCATTGCATTGTCTCTTGGTCATATCAGCTAGAGGTACAAGTTCAAACCTTTGGGTGAATTTAATACCAAAAATCCTCGATGCCTCCCTGGTCTGGGCCTTGAGGCGGTGCTGAGTGTCCTCGGGTACAGGGGAGCAAAGCTCCACTCCTGGTTATAAAAATTAAAAATTAAAAATTAAAAAATATAATAATAATGCCCTTCTACTGGACAATGATACCCTATTGTAAGTTAATACGGTGGGTGGATCTTAATGTAAAAAATTTGGTATACCTGCGATATATATGTATATATGTATGTGTGTGTGTGTGTGTGTGTGTGTGTTGGTGTTATAATCAAGTATGACGTGCATTTGGGGACTTTTTTAAATACAGAGTACCTCTTTCTTTTTGTCTCTTATTACTTTCATCTTGATGAAAAAAACAGGTTGGTGGCAGTGTTTTACCTGCATCAGTCATCTCGTTGTACTGCATGTATCTCTGTTACAGTGGGCTTGCTAGTGAACCAAGAGACTATGAATGTAATGGTCTCCACAAGCATTCCAAGGCTGTTTCTACTGGCACGCTTGCCTTGGGTCTTCTCACCACTGTTCTATCAGTAGTCTATTCTGCTGTTCGTGCTGGTTCTTCTACAACCTTGCTTTCTCCTCCAAGTTCACCCCGTGCAGGTAAGAGTCTGCTAAGTTATTTTACTATTACTACTATTATTATTTTGGCTTTTACAGTTCAGAAACACACAGTATTATATAAGGTTATGTTTTATGTGTTCATTTCCATTGTCTCAATGGAGTGACCGTCCCATTGGGTTCACGTTCATACACAGAATTGGCAAATCTTGAACTTTGGAAATTTCTACTATTGACGTCCTAAGAATTGTGCATGATACTAATATTACATAGCAAGATATGATTGGGTGTACTTCCTTCAACCTTCTGGTCATCGTAACCATTTTTTAAGTTGTTCATGACTTCTGTCTGTTGCATCTCATATATTAATTTTATAGGCAACGTTGTTAAATTTCTTGTGGGACGTGTCCTTTAACAGGGCGGGGAATCTCCATTTCAAGTGGGGAGAGAGATTTTCTCGCTCGATTTTGTTTGTAGCCTCTTGTGTTTTAAGCTCGTTAGGTATGACATTCTTGGTTCTCTGTCAAATGGCCAGGAAAGCCATTGCTTCCATTGGAGAAGTCAGATGAGCACGAGGAAAAAGAGAAGGCAAAGCCAGTCACATATTCATATTCATTTTTCCACATCATCTTCTCTCTTGCTAGTATGTACTCAGCAATGCTCCTGACTGGATGGACCAGCTCTGTTGGCGGGAGTGGCAGGTTGGTTGATGTCGGGTGGTCATCCGTGTGGGTTCGGGTTGTGACTAGTTGGGCTACTGCAGCATTGTTCATCTGGTCTTTGATTGCCCCCATCCTGTTTCCAGACCGGGACTTCTGAGTGGCTTACTCGTCGAACTGGTGATGTCGATGTGTCTAAGTAAGTTCTTTTGTGTGCACGTATGATGTACATGAAAATTTCCAGTGTGTATATGGTAAGCCTGGAGGATGGCTTTAAAACTGGACCTTGAACTTGTTTGGAAGACGTTATTTCACTTGCATATGGTGACTTAAGAAAGAAAGTTATAATATAGACTCCAAAACAGTGCCTTGAGTGATTGATCCTGTGAGAAATTCTAACATTTAAATAACATGTTTTAATAAACTTTATTTTATTAGTTAATTTAGTTAATTTGATCTTCTAGCTTTAATAGTGTACATATTGACAATTAAAATATTATTAATCAACATAACCGCCCCTTCCCTTATCTTCACCTGATACAAGGCAGTCGAAGTCTCCGCCACCCTGCAGGTTTCAATCTAGCGACGTGGAACCACACAGTTATCGCTGTCCTTTGGGCATGCCTCCTACGCTTACCACTCACCCCCGCGTGTGCAGCATGCCTCCTTCCTTCGGGCAATACCGACGGGCTATTAGCTCAGTGGTAGAGAGCGCTCCTATAGTTCAATGTGCTCATCAGCGCTGGCCCACCCAGAGATGTGGATCATCCAAGGCACAATGTGCTCATCAACGCTGGCCCTGAGATGTGGATCATCCAAAGCACAATGTCTGATCCTGAGATGTGGATCATCCAAGGCACAATGCCTACTTGTTTAATGAAAAAACAGGCTGGCTCTGACTACCTTTCGGAGCAAACAAAAGATCCCCAAATTACGCCTGTATGAACAAACAAACTTTGTACTTTGAGAAAATCGGGATTTTTTCCACATAACAACGTTAACCAAAGACTGGAGCATATTAGAAGCATCTTAGCAGACACTCGAGAGAAATCCCTCTCACTTCATCGACCAAATTCATAAAGTAATGAAATCTCATTAATGTGAGTTAAACATAACTTAAGATAATCTTTGCTATAATTTTAATTAAAATTTAGCCAGATAATCCTGTGCTATAATTTTAATTAAAATTTAGTTTGAAGTAATTTACGACCAGCCACAAAATTAGTTCAATTTAGTTACAAATATAATATATATATATATATATTACAAAAATTTGCATGGACATTTTCCCTTAATTTCCATTTTATTTCCATAAATATATCAGAAATATAATTAACAGACATCTTTCACTAATATATTTAATATATTTTTTTGATGATAGACACCTGTAACGGTCACACATGCTGAAATATGTTATCTTTTCATCTTTTTAAACATTATTTATTTGAATTGAGCTTTAAAAAAATTGTCATATTTATAATATTTTTATCCAGAAATAATAAATGTGTCTAATTGGGCCGGCCCAATTGAGAAGCCCAATGAATTGACCAACCCATGGATTCTCATCCAAATGGACTCTATATAAGATGTCCAACTCTTTGCCATGGTTCATTTCGAGCTACTTTCTTTATTAGTTGTCTTCGTCCGCAAGAAAATCACAGCGGAGTTGCAGAATCCTACTTCGGAGTTCCAAGTTGGAAGTTTCATGGCGCCGGACCCTGAGGATGAGATCAAGGACGAGAAGAATCCTCGCCCCCTCGACGAGGACGATATTGCTCTTCTCAAGACCTATGTATGATAATCTATCGGAGTTTCTTTCTTTTATACTTTATAAACCCTAAATTCGTGCCTATTTTACTTTCTGTTTCCTCATTTCTTCCTCATTTGTATGTTCTAATCTCCACATCGGATTAGATCCAGCGACTTCAGCAGAATCTCGTTGCTTATGATGTGCGCTCTAAGCTAATTAAGTGTTTTGTATGAACCATTCAAATAGTTTTGATAATTTATCAACCCCGTTTTTACTTTCGGTGTTCCTTAACCTGCGGGAATTTTGAATTCAAGCAAGTTAAGTTTTAAGAGAGGATTTCCTCATTTCATCTGGTCCCTGAGTTGAAATGTCCGGGTAATGTGTGGATTCAGAGGAGCTGCCTCCTGCAGGTAAGACGATAGTTTTTGCACGAATGAGCACAGCAGCTAAATGTTCGGGGTTGTTTTTCCATACAATTAGGGTCTTCTGATTCTCGATTTTTTTTTTATTCAAGAAACTATGTCCGATGGGTCTTGCGACAAGGCGCATTTTTTAGAAAGTGGAATGTGAGATTCTTAGTATCAGTTTTTTTTCTATCTTGACGTGCAGTTTCAGTGTATTTTCAGTTTTGCTCACCATTATCCACTTTTGCAGGGTTTGGGACCTTATTCAACCTATATCAAGAAGGTCGAGAAAGAAATCAAGGATATGGCAAAGAAGGTCAATGATTTGTGTGGTATGTGTTACTTCTTGTATTAGAGACCAGCACATATATGTTGCTATATGTACGTGAATAATCAGTTTATCAATGAGACTAAATATCTGCATGGATTGCATCACAGGCATCAAGGAGTCTGACACCGGTTTAGCAGCTCCTAGCCAGTGGGATCTAGTATCTGATAAGCAAATGATGCAGGAAGAGCAGCCTCTTCAGGTGCGATTTCAATGGGTTTTGGATGTACCTTTTTTTTTTTCTTTTTTGTGGCTTTTAGTTTCTGATGCAGCAAATATTTTGTTAATCAGGTGGCGAGATGCACAAAGATCATCAATCCAAATTCTGAAGACGCCAAATATGTTATTAATGTTAAGCAAATTGCCAAGGTTAGCTATCAGTTGTGTAGTATGATGCATTCTTAGTTAGGCAAGGCATTGGTTTAACGGCGGGGGGGGGGGGGGGGGGGGGGGGGGGGGGGGGGGGGGGGGGGGGGGGGG